AATAGGCCGAAGAAAGTAATCCTGGTTGACAAACATTCGTCATTGGACAGGTATACAGGACTTCCAAGCACTCCAACTCCTTAGTCTATTTATTCAAAAGTTCCAAGTTATATGTCTCACATTATTATCTTTATGATGATTATCTCTATGAGAAATATATGTGTAGAAAATACACTTTAAATATTACATTTCCTTCAAAACTTAACCAAAAGTCAGTTAGCGACACTTTGTATACCGGATGCGTCTCAAAAGTGTGGTTCGTGTGGTTCGTAACGAAAAAAAGTGTGGTTCGTAACGAAAATTTGACTTGAAATACCAAGTGTGTGGTATCAAATTATTCGTAAAAAAATGCTTTTTCTAAATATGCTAATGAGCCACCCTCGTACCATTTGAAAAAATTGAGATATGATTAAAAATACGATTTGAGCATTTTCTAACTGGCCAGGGCAAGACACTAAAAACATTAGACGATCAAATCTATTTTTCCAAGGCTCCTTGATGAAGAATTAATGTTTTTAATATAGGCACTCTAGATTCAATATTAAAATACAATTTTTTATTAAGCGAGATTGTCAAAAGTTGACATATAATATGTCATTCTATTCAGAATGTCATTTTCTATCGAATAAAGTAAAAATATACCGAGGGTGCTATTTAAAAATCAAAAGTTGTAGTCATTTCCGGTGAAACAGGAAGTAACTAAAAACAATTGAATACACCAATCAGTCCTAATTTATGTCATATACTAACATACCAAATCTCGTTTTTTATCTGAAAAAATAAAAAAGTTATATGGTGAGCCACTTTTGAGACGCACCCGGTATATTGGACAGAATTGCGAAGCCTATTTCTCGTGTATATTTTTTAATAGGTCAACAGATGGCCCGTCGTCTAGAGTGTCATTACGGATATGCATAACTGCATCGAGCCGTTGAAATATGACATAATCGTTGTAAACTTCATAAACAGCGGCTTTGCGGCGGTGTCGGATGACGCGAGTGTGGCCGGGATAATCCCCATTCTCCAATGACAAAATAAAATAAATAGCGATTGTGAAACGCGATAATCTGTGGTGGGATTGGGTTTTAAAACAGCGGTAAAAGTATTATTTCAAAACGTACAGATTGAAATCAATTAGTTTGCAATGTTGCGGTAAAAGTATTTTTTAAAGATGTTGTTGAACACAGTGATTTCAGTATTTTTCCAGGAATATTACTCATTTCCCCAGGAGAATATTTAAGAGTCCATTTCACTATATAGTCCGAAAAAGTAGCAATATAAGCGTCCGGCATTTAACGTTATATGTAAAACTGGCTAGGTATTTTTACACAAATGAAAGTGTTATATCTCAAAAAATCTACTTGTTTTCTATAATTTTATTTAAATTGACACCCTTCAATACCAGAAACTATTAGAACAACAATTTGTAACGTGGTCACAGTTCAAATTGAATCAACAACAATAATCTCTGCGGTGGTCGTTTAATCTAATAAAGAACAATTAAATTTAATAGCTCGCAAAGTGTTTTCGAACAGAGAAATCCAGTCCAACCGACCGCACTTTAAACTCAATCCAAACATTATCGATTCATATAAATATACATCGGCAGACTAAATAAATAAATCGCTCATAATGATTTTTCAGTTGTGGAAAAATTTGCGAGAAGGTAGTCTATTTCGAGCCTCTAAACGTAAACCAGACTGGAAACTGGAAGTTTAATCATTTAAAAATACCAGGTATCGTCTCTGTTTCTAGGACCGTTTTACGCGTTGTAATTTTTTGCAGCAAGCTCTATGAAAATAAACAATAGTGTAGTTAAAACCGCGATTTGTATTTGCAGAATTTTTATTACAAAAAATTATGCATTCATCATTGCTGGAAACAGCGCAGCGCTGGGAGAATTGTAAGCTCAGGAACTTGGTACCTAGGCCCTCAAAAGAGAAATTCCACTCCTCCAACTCCCAGTGAATGTACCACTTTGAAAAACACCTCACTGTACTACTGACCTACCACGGTCTCCAGCAAGGGTCGGGAGCCTACCTCTAGACCCAATAAGCTACACAAGCTACCGTTTTGTCTACCCGGCCTGGGTCAACCAGGCGGGCTAGACGATCCTCTGAGAGTAGGTCTTAGTGGAGCAGAAGCACGGAGATACCTCCGACTGCTCCACGAAGGACTTGCTCCAGAGGAAGCAAAAGCGAAAACACTCCTCCAAAAAGGGGAGAGTAAAGAAACCAAGAAACAACCTGACTCATCTCCATCAAAGAGCAAGAGAGGGAGCGAGAACCTCTCACCTCTTCTCCGGCAGGGAGAGAAAAAAGCCAGGATGGAAAGCCGTCCAACACCGGGAGGCAAGCAGGGAGGTATCACCAGCTTTGCCGCTATAGCTGGACAAGTGAAAATGGCGGTGCTGCCAAAGGATTTCCCAGAGGTTGCTCTGACCACCGACCAGCAAACGTCTCTAGAAGAGGCTATACTGGACGAAGTAGTGGCGATCGGATCGCAACACAACGATCTACAAAATGTGGATCAGCTGCGTTTTGTGGATGGGCATGATCCTCATAGATTGTGTATCTGAAGAATCGGCGAATTGGTTGGTGCAAATCGCACCTAAGCTTAAAAATTGGCAAGTGCCGGAATTGGTTGCAGTGAAGGGACAAAACATCCCTAAAGGGGCCGCCATCACGGTCTTTCTGCCGAGGAGCAAGGGGAAAGACACCACCTACCTGCTGAGCCTTATCCAGGGTCAGAACTTCAATGACATCGAGTTGGCGAGTCATCAACTCGAGGGAGGAGGGTCATGGTCAGGTCCTCACAATAGGAATTGACCTCAAATCCAAGGAGGTAATAGAGAAAGAGGGCATATCCTCTATTATAGATACGGGACAACACCGGTATCAGGTCTAAGGAGAGACCAAGTTAAAGAGGTGGAGAAAATTGCGACAGATCCTCCAGCCTCCACCTCACGGGTTCCTCAGCCGGAAGCAAGCTCCTCTACTGTGAAGAGCGGCACGGAGAGCCAAACTCCAACCGTAGAAGGGTGTGTACCCTCGGAGGAAGAACTGTTGTCAGAGGAGGATGGGAAATACCCTGTCCCCTCTACAACAGGGGTACGATGGGATATAGACTGTGTGATGACTCAAGGAAAGGGGGCACAATAGATCTTTAAGGTTCGGAGTGATTAACTCCCCCTCTTACTCATTCTATATTCTACTACTGAGCAACAAAAATAATTGGAAGAAACAAACAAACTATCGGAAACAAGAAGTAGCCATCTGATCCTATATAGTCGAGCAGCCTTAAAAGCGATCAGTTCAGTAACCATCAATTCAAAGTTGGTCAAAGAGTGTTTAGAGGAGCTGAACAAATTAGGCAAAGAAAATAAAGTCCTTCTACTCTGAGACACTCGAAAAAATTTCTGAGAACTACACTGAACCAAAAGTCGACATAAATATAATAAAAAAGTTCATTAATATAATGAATTAAATCATTAATTTTGAGCCGATGAACGATTTCATTGGCACAATGAAAAGTAATTCATTAACTCTATGAACTGGAAAGGGTAAATTATAATAAGAAAATTAATTTACCAGTCGATATCCTGAGGGATTTCTATAAAAAGACCATTTCTTCATTATATTAGCTGTATCCTTAGACTTGATAACGTCTAGACGAATTTGCAACAGGCTTTCCAAGTCGCATCAAGTGGGTCCGATGTTAAATTGTCAAATTTGAGGGCTTGAAGGCAGGTCTCAACATCTTCCGGTTCTAAAAGACGTATATCAAAATAATTAAAATGCCAAATATTAAAAGAACATTCGAATTTACCATAATCAGTTCCATGCCTCGACTTGTTACTATGTTTTTCTTCTTTTTGTTTTTTATCTTCTGAAACATATTTGGAAACCGCTGTTTTAATGAATACCCATACCAGAGATCTCACACAGCGGAATTCGATTTGACAACACAACAAATTAACTACAATACGATAGGACTTTTATTTAAAATATTTAAAATATTGAAGAGAACACTTACCGCTCTAATGAAACTAAAGCCTCACTGAATAACTCAACCACACCGACGTTATTAAAGTGCCAAAGTAACCGATCAACATGGCGGACATTTAAGCCCTAATATTTTATTCATGATATTAATAACCGCGTACATTAATATAATGTAGTGTGTTCGTTGTATTAATAACATTGTTCATTGTCACAATGTACAACTCATTAATCAATGATTTAGTACATTAATATAATGAATTAGTGTTTATTAAAGTTTCAGCACTAAAATAAAGAACGCGTTCATTATATTAATGAAAATCTTACAATAATTAAATAACCAGATTTTCATTATATTGATGAAATTAGATTCATAGTATTAATAAATCGGACATCGATCTATGATTAACGAATCATTATATTAATGAAAAAAATCATTGTCCCAATGAAACAACAGTTAATAATCAATGTTCGTTAATATTATGAACAATATTTTTTTCAGTGTACGACCAAAAAAAATCAAATATTTTAGCAGCAATTTTTAACAGTGTAAAAAAACGGCGAATGCAGATTCTGCAGTGAAAATGGGGAAATACCAGAACACCTCATCACTGAACGACAACCATTCGTGCCATAAACTTTGGTACGACTGATATTGGAGATGGGGAACTACCCTCTATAAAACCGTCCCAGATACTGGCGTTTGTCAAAGCCCTGGGACTGTATAATGAGTTACAACTCAAGGAAGGTGGACACAATAGATCTGTAAGGTCGCGCTGATTAACCGGTGATTAATCAATTGATTGGAATGCTACTCATAATTTTGTAACGCAAGAATTCATTGATTCAACTGATAGTTACATTATTACTTTATAACAACCTGTATATTTTTGTACGGTCTAAATATTGTGTACCTTTAACTACGGTATTTTATTAAGTACTAAAATAGATAACAAAAAATATTCAGTACCTATAATTAAAAAATAATTTTTGTTTCAGGTCCTGTGACGGTACCAATGGTATCCACCAACTCCTCCCCGCCAATAGCAATGCCGGTCCAGGTACCACCGGGTCACGTGGTGCAGCAAATAGTCGACGAGAACGGTACGCTGCGTCACGTGATATTGTCACCGTCTCATCACCCTCCCGGTTTGTTGTCACTTCCTTCACACAATCCGCAACATTATGTAAGTACCATAACCATCGTTAGAGTTAAAGTATAGGGTAGACTGGGTATGGTTGAAAAAAAAACAAATACACCTATATTTGATACCAATTAAACTTTTAGTAACGTAATCAAAGGGCGCGACTTTTAAATGCATTATTGCCAACCATTAATTTAAATTTCCCGCTGGGGATTCAGGCGGTAGCTCTGCTGTAAAAAATGTCAAGTTGTCACGTTTATTTATGTATTTCCTGACACTGTCATTCGTTTTGACACTTTTGTATTACGAGTTTGGTTTAAGCTTAAAAATGATTACTAGCAGGCCTTGGAGTCGAACATTGTCCTTTTTAGAACCTCTTTTAGTGCGAAGTGTACATCTTAATAGCCGTAAAAAATCATCGCAACTTTATTAGAATATTTTGAACGGGAAAGCGGTAGTAATGGCCCTTTATGTCCTTTAAGTGCTGTTAAGGATGTGAGTTTTGTTGATGGTAAATAATAACTGTTTATATATTTATAATTAAACCCAATGCTGACCACTGTGACCAGTTTAGAATGATCAGCTTAATGAGCCAGGTCTTAAAGCTCTTCACAAAAATAATTCACGGAAGAATATACAACAGATGTGAAAAGGAGATCAGCACCACACAGTTTGGGTTTAGACAGGGATTTGGCACAAGGGAAGCATTATTCAGTCTGAGTGTTCTTCTTCAGAAGTGTCGAGACCAGCGAAAGAATGTATGCGTGTGCTTCATAGATTACCAGAAAGCCTTCGACTGTGTCAACCACTCGGAACTTATAAAACTTCTAGAGGAGAAAATGGTGGACAGGAACGACCTGGCATTCATAAAAAAGCTTTACTTAAACCAGATAGCATCGGTGAAGGTAGGAAATGAAACCACCTCTAGTTTTCCAATAGAGAAGGGTGTAAGACAGGGTTGTGTCTTGTCGCCTCTCCTCTTTAATTTGTATTCGGAGGCCATTTTTGACAGTGCCTTAAAGGACACAGACGACGGCATAAAGATCAACGGCTACGCGGTTAATAACCTTCGCTACGCTGATGATACAGTCATCATTGCTGATAACCAAGAAGCATTACAGCGACTTATCGATAGAGTATCCGCGGAAGGCGAGCGACTCGGTTTAAAAATCAACATCGATAAGACGAAGACTATGATGGTTGGCAGAACCCCGATCGACCGTCTAAACATCTCGGTGAACGGCCAACAGATTCAACAGGTCCCGAAGTTTAAGTACCTCGGCAGCTGGATTACCGAAGACCTAGATCCAGACACGGAGATTCGAAGCAGGATCGAACAAGCCCGAGCAATATTCACGAACATGAGAACTCTGTTGAGTAACCAAAGCCTGAGTCTACGCCTACGTTACCGTTTTGTAAAAGGCTACGTATACTCAGTACTACTATATGGCGTGGAGACCTGGACCCTCAAGGCAAAAACTATGAACCGACTAGAGGCCTTTGAGATGTGGATATTTCGAAGATTGCTCAGGATTCCTTGGACTGATCGCGTGAGAAATGACGAAGTTCTGCGACGTATGGGAACGGAAAGAATGTTGCTTCAAATAGTTAAAAAACGGAAAACAGCTTACTTGGGCCACATATTTAGAAACACCAAATATCAATTCCTGAAACTGATTATGGAGGGGAAGATTGAAGGAAAACGTGGCATCGGAAGAAAGAAGTATTCTTGGCTTAAGAACATCAAAGACTGGACTGGTCTCGATGCCCATTCACTCTTTAGAGTCGCCCAAGATCGAGACGAATTTGCCAGAATTGTCGCCAACATTCATTAAATGAATACGGCACACTAAGAAGAAGAAGTACATCTTAATAGCCGTAAAAAATCATCGCAACTTTATTAGAATATTTTGAACGGGAAAGCGGTAGTAATGGCCCTTTATGTCCTTTAAGTACTGTTAAGTATGTGAGTTTTGTTGATGGTAAATAATAACTGTTTATATATGTATAATTAATGTATTTTTTTCTACAATATTTTGATTAAAAGAAAATATGCAAAAGTGAACAATGCTGTGCCGGTGAAGCATAATCACGTGACTAAATGTTTATTTGATATGAACTATACAGGGTGGTCCGAACTATATTCCGAACACTTCGGCGGCATATTCTGCAGTTAAAAATAAGTAAAAAAGTTCGTATAAATGTGTGTTCTAAAATGCTTAGTTTTGGAGATATAGGGTGTAGAAGTTTCATTTTTATTTCGATTGTGTCCAAATAATTTTTGAAGTAACGTCAATACTTGGATGAAAATTGGTGTCTGGAAGTCTTTTGACATGAGAAATTTGATTTTGATGTCAATATGACTCCTATTTGTAGGTGGCGCTACCTATATGTGTTTTAAGTGTTTTTAAGAGTAATAGCTTTTCTTTCGTTCCCGTATAAAACAATCGAGCGAAAAAATATACATTTCCGTCATTTTTTACGTAAAAAATGTCTCCTGGTAAAAATCGCTACGAGCAACCGTTCTCAAGATATTTGGAATGGAAATAGTCAATACATGTCAATATTGACGAAATATAAACACGTTGTTAGATAGTTATTTCACTGAAATAAATAAATTTGAAAAAAAATTATTTTTTTAAATTAATCATAAATTTTTCTGCAAAAAAATGATGATAAAACAGTTTCTGTTGAACTTTTGGCACAAAAACATTTCAAATTTATGATTTTAGTCTAATAACTATTTAGTCACCATGTTTAATTTATGTCAATGATGACAGATATTGATAATTTCGATTCCAAATATCTCGAGAACCATTACTCTTAGCGCTTTTTATCAAGAGACCTTTTTTGAGTAAAAAAAGTCGTAAATGTATATTTTTTTTACTCAGTAGTTTTATACAGGTACGGACGAAAAGTCAATACTCTTCAAACCAGTTAAAACACATGTAGGGGAAGGGGTATCGTAAGTGAACCTTCCTAGTAGTAGAGGGCGCCCTCTACTACTAGGAGTCATGTTGAAATCACAATCAAATATCTCATGTCAAAAAACTCCCAGATACCAATTTTCATCTAAATATTGACGTTACTTCAGAAATTATTTGGAAAAATCGAAATAAAAATGAAACTTCTACACCCTGTATCTCCGAAACTAAGCATTTCAGGACATACATTTATACGAACTTTTTTACTTATTTTTATCTGCAGAATATGCTGCCGAAATTCCCGGAATTTACCGGTTCCGTTCATTCCGTCCTGTATATATTTATGATATACACCCTGTAAATGTTTAATTGAATGCAAACATTCATAATTAATATGTTAAAAATTTCAATGGAGTAATCCAAAGCGGTTTTCTTTTAATTTCGTTCCAATTATTGAAGTACCGAACGGAAAATGGCTGTAATTAGGCAAAACCTCGTTAACATGGCCTTTCAACGGATCCGAGCATCAATTAGTTCTAATTTTTTTTTCACTTTTTAAAAGCGGATATAATGTTAACCTTGTTTCTGTGTCCAATTCAAAGCTCTATAATAGTGTCGTTGCTACTCTCATTATATATTAAATATCATTGACCATTACTCATTAGCGCTAATTGCATATTATTCTGTTATAAGCGTTTGATGCCCACTGAATGAGTCATGCCGATGTTTATTAACCTCCCATCTGTTAATTTGTATATGTATACAGGGTGTCCCAGGCTGAGCGTGCATTAGAAGTTTCTAGAAAACTACAATATCTACATCGGAGGTTTTTTGCACATCATTGTTGTTTCACAACGAGATCTATCGATTAAAAATATTTTCAATATGGCGGCACTTCCCGAAATACCGGAAGTTGACAGCAACTTTCTTATTTTAAATGGATGCCTCCATTTTTTATTACATACTTAAATTGTATGAATATTAATGTTGAACACTCTACCTTGAAATAAACTACCTGTCAAAAAAATTTGTATAGTCTAAAAGTCAAATTTAGTGATTACCACAGCCACTGTGACATAAAGAGAAGACATGTGGCTATCTATTTCAAAAACTAAATCGGTCAAATGTCATAAATATAATAATGGCGGTAGCTGTCATGGAATTGAGCGATTAAAAAATTATCATAAATCATTTTTTTTTTTTCAAATGGAAACCTACTTTTTTATTTCACTAGTGAAAAGGTTTTCCAATTCGTTACTTTTTGAGTATACATGTTCCTATACCTAAAATAAAGTCGTTTACAGCTCAGCGGATAAAGAATACTGTACCATAGTTCTGCCACAGTTTAAAGAATATATACATATACAGTTGGCTCACTCTAAGGAATTCTATTGTTATTTTGACTACAAAGGCGGCCCGTGACCCTTCGAGGTGACAAAAAATTTGTACGTTTACCGAGTGCAGCGGAAGTGCTATTTTATCAGTCAGAACGCTGGCCGTATACGAGGGATCAACTAAAAATACTAAGGAATTTTAGTATAGCAAGTAGAAAAATAAATATACAGTACTAGTTTTATTGATTAACAGTTTTAGGCGTCTTTAATAATTGATCAATATTTATTTACTTTCTTCTTATTATTATTTAATAACATATCTCATAAACCGCAAATCCTAATACGGTTTGGTTTGGTTTGGTTGCGATATTGTTCTGGTGTATAATTTTCATATCTGTGGGATCCTAAGGCACTTTTCCAGGCTCCACACCTACAAGTTATTTTCCTTATCAGACTCTACTTATACATATTATTGTGAATACATTAATATTAAAAAATTATATATATTATTCTATTCTAATTCTTTGGAATATGGAATTGTCAATAGGGGAATTATTATTAATAATTATTATGGAAACCCCATATGTTTGCATTTTACTTTAATTACCTACCTGGAAAGCCCAAATTTTATCGTAACTTTGCATACAACTTGTGTTGCCATTGTCAATTTTTTTGGAATTTTTTCTAAATTTTATGATTATCATGAACAGTAATTATGACTGTTAGTAGTTAATTGTGTAATAAATTTTAATTTGATGAAGTGATAAAATTTAGTAAAAACTGA